TCGAGTCAGCCCCGACTCATAGCGACCCCTCCTTGGGTTTCCGAGGCAGTATCACTACGGAAGTAGGAATGCCCAACCTTCCTTCCAAGGAGTGGCTGGTGGGTTTGAACCACCGGCCTTCTGGTTAGCAGTCAAGTGCTGTAGCCACTATGCTACCAGGTGAATTTAAAATGTTTTTATCATTATTGATTTAATAACTTTTAAAATGGATTTTGAGTTTTCTGAGATGGCTCATTACTTTCTCAGACTTTTCATCCCATGTGAAATTTCTAATATGTGGAAAGGAGAGAGGATACTGATTGCCACTTTATCTAAAAATTATAGTGATCAAGACTTATAATAAAATGCACCTAGAACTCAACTAGAAAGGATGTTGTGTTTTGGTTGCCTAAAAAGATAACGATTCCATTTTATTAGTTTCTAGAGATGACTTGGAAAAACTAAGGTCAAATGTAGAGATATCTCTGTGTGATTTGTTTTGTTTTGTTTTAAACTTTAGGTGCAAAATTACACTGATGCCCTACACTGGTATGATTATTCTCTGAGGTTTTATGCATCTGATCAAATGGATCTGGATTTGGCCAAGCTGCAAAGGAACATAGCTTCGTGTTACCTGAATTTGAAACAACTTGATAAGGTTCTTTGCTTTATCTATTTTTCAGAGGCAAGCAAATGTTTTTATGTACAGTGGCAGAGAGAGGGAGAGAGAGAGAGATAGTGTCATGACTTAACTGTTGGGTTAGGATGTCTAACAGTTCCTTTACACAAGAAAAAGTCAAATTGTTATTTCACTAATTTAAATACTATAAACATTAATGAGTGGAACTTCCCAAGTGGAGAGAGAATTTGTAAAATCATTTATTCCATTTACTGTTTATTTTTTGCACCCTGTTCTGAAAGATAACATGTCATTGGATCTACTGAACAAAGCTATATGCTACCATCTGTGATACTGTCTTTTAAAGCTGATTAAATTCTAAGAGAAACATTTTTGTCAGGCATTTAATGAGAGCAAATATTTGGATAAAATGTTCACTCTTTCATCTTCTTTGTTGTTATCGCTTGATTTACCACTCTAAAACCAAACCAAACCCACTGCCACCAAGTTGATTCTGATTCATAGTGGCCCCTGTTGGGTTTCCGAGGTAGTAAATCTTTCCTGAAGTAGATTTCCCAGTCTTCCTTCCAAGGAGTGGGTGCTTGATTTGAACCGCCAACCTTCTGGTTAGCAGTCAAGTGCCTTAGGCACTGTGCCACCAGAGCTCCCTTCTAAGCACTCTGTTGTTGTTGTTGTTGTTGTTGTTTGCTGTCGAGTCGGCCCCGACTCATAGCGACCCCTCCTTGGGTTTCCAAGACAGTATCACTACGGAAGTAGGATTGCCCAACCTTCCTTCCAAGGAGTGGCTGGTGGGTTTGAACCGCCAGCCTTCTGGTAAACAGTCAAGTGCCTTA